GGCCTAAAAGAGTTGCCTTCTACCTGAGAGCAGATAGGCCAGAGCAGGGCTGTCTTGCACCAGGGTGCATGGTGAGAGTGTGGATATCTGGGTGTTTCTTACACCAGCCTTATGGGGGAAAGAAAGGAGAACTATAAAGACTGTAGCAGAAAGGGACAAAGAAAAAGCAAGGACAAACTGAAAGGACTGTCGTGGTACCTTGTAAGCAACACAGGTAAAGAGAGGGAAGAATGGAGTTTGCCAGGATCAGAAGGTGATTGACAGAAATCCCTAGGAAACAGCCCCATATCTTCCTTGCTCACAGAAAAATTTGCTAGATTTTTATTCAGCCTCTCCACAAACATATTTTCTCTTTCACTCCCAACCTAAAGTACCAAGGAAAATGTTGTATTTGAAGCTCATTAATGAGCATCTTTAGTACTCATTAAGTAGATGTGCTAAAAGCTACTTAAACTTCTAGGGCTTACAAATATAAACATTGAAATGACCAAATCAAACTCTGCATTACAGCACAGAAAGTAAAAAACCTAATAAAGTGACTTGTTTTGCTCTCCTAGCTGGATTTGCATAAGCAGCTCTTCTAAATTCTGCTGTATTCTCTCATTATTGTTCCTCAAGATGAAGATTTTTTTAAAGTACACATTCAGTGTAATCTAATTTAATAGGATTATTTCAAATGAGGAACGACTCACAAGTAGAAGTTGATAACTTAAGTTAACATTGAAACTGCCTTTACACACTTCAATTAACTCAGATTGAAAAAAAGTATAGATAGAGCTTCATCTGCAAAATACCTGATTAAGGCATTGCATTAATCTTAATGCATTAAGTATTTGCAGGGGGGAAGCAGAGAACATTGGGAATCAATCACTTTTAGAGGAATGTAAAACAGATCAACAGGTGTTGTGTTATGTATTAGATGCCTTTATGTCTGATCTCATCAATTTATACAGTATGACACAGTCACATAGCAAATGCAGGTTCAACCTTAGCAAATCCCTAAGTATTTTAAATTTTAAATTATATTTTTCACTTGTTAAGGCTGATTCTGAAGACAGAAGATATATCAGAAAGGAAATTGTATGAGGCAAATTTGAAAATTTATTCATGGTTTTAAATTTTGGTTCACGTTTCCTCCAGGTATGAAAAAAAGGAAAATATATTGATTTCAAAGTCTGCAGATTTCTTCATGGGCTTTTTACAACTGAAGAAACCACTATGGTTCTCTTCCCCAGGCCATTTTCTTTGGCATTTCTCTTTGTACTGGACAACTGATAAAATTCATATATCTTCTGCAAAAACTAAATTCTATTTCTATACTAGAAAATAGTACCTTGGGTCCAACTTCTTTTCCAAAAAGCTGTTGTTATGGTATGAATTTGTTCTGAACTACCAGGAAAAGGAGGATTTTTAGAGACATGTTTGAGGAAAACAATAGGAAGGGAAAACAATATTAAGGGGTTGGAGATTTTTAAATTGAGAGTCCAGAATTTTAAAAATTAAAGAAGGATCAACCTATAAATTTCTTTTTCTAGCAGTGCAGGCTTATTTGGTCAAGAAGGCTTCTGCTTCCATTTGGAGCTACCAGCCAGAATAATTCGATAGACAGGCATTTCCTTGTGTATGTTGGGAATATTCAGTGTTCCTTCTTTTTCTATTTTTTAAAAAAATGCTAATTTTTTTTCTTCATTTGCAGTTTTCTGGTCTAACACAGTGTGAAGGAACAGTATCTGTTTAATAGAACAGGGATGAGGGCACCTTGAGGGGCATCTGGAACATCAACTTGCTCCAAACCAGAATCAAACACAGCCCCTGCAACAGGAATTTCATTGCCTGAGGTTTCACTACTTTCAAGGCAGTTTCATTCAGATGCTTAACCAACAGACCATTATAAAATCTTTTTCATTACCTGTACTACCTTCCCTTGACAGAAATATCAGCTCAGTCTCTGTAAACCCACACTAAACAGCCCCTACCACGCAAAAGGGTTCAGGTCTGCTCACCAGAAGTGCTGAAAGATGGATGCTTCCTAAGATCCTTCTGCTTTTATTGCCCTTCAAGCACAAGTACTTGCTGTGCCCTAAGCCTCTAACCCACAGATAGTACGTAACACTAGCGTGGGAATTTTTAACCCAATACCACCGCTACCATGTGACACTGAGAAAACCTTTAGCCCAACAAAAACCCAGAGAGAATAAGGGAGTTAAAAGGTTTTCTTTTTTTATTGCTGCTCCGCAGTTTTAGTCCATCATGTTCTCAGTTAAATCTGCAGCAGGCTGAGAGGTTAATTCCTCCATTAACACTGCCTGATGCTTTACATGCCGTGGGCTGCACAGTGAGCCAGGAACTCTCTATCTCCTCATCTGCACAGTTGCTGCATGCTGCTCTGCTGCCTTGCCTGTTTTATTACAACACAGTTCATCATGCTTTCAAGCAGAAGGGGATTTCATTGCAGTTTTGAAGATAAGTTTATCTTTTTTATCTTCAGTTGGGTGACACAAAAATGGAGCAAACGTGACATGGAAAATACAACAAAAACTGTTCTCAAGCCATCATGCAAAAGGGTGATAAAAGGATCATTTTCACTGTCAGTAGAGTAAATTTTTTCAGATGAATTTAACTGCTTTACTGCAACAATCTTCTACTACAAAATGAGGAATATGTTTCAGACCACTTTGCAAGCCACTTCTTAATCTAAAGAAAAAGAGATTGGTCCATTCTCCACACAGTTACACTCAGATAGAAACCATTATGGACTCAGACTCCTGCGCCAACAAAAATTCTTATCTAATTATGGAAAGAAGAATTAAGAACAGTCAACAGGTTTCCATTGGTAGGTCTAGTGAATTTAGCATGGTTCTAAGCTTTAGTTTCTTGTGCCCTTGGCAACATCCAGTGAATGAAGATTCTGTAAATATATTTGGCAGTTCATGTTAGTACTATGCAACAACTGTATTTAAAACTTAACTTCTATGCTCTCTAAATTAAGCCCCAGTTTGTCGTTTAATCATATTAACAGGAGAAAAGTTACCAGGAAATGAATACAAAAAATTTCAAGTAGGAGACATAATTAAATATTTTTAAATTAAAAGTTATTGTTAATATTTTAAGGGCAATGCTTTGCAAGTCAAGAGTGAGTGCATTATTTGGACATAGAGGTGTCTGTATTTTTATGTATGTCTGTATTTTTTATGTCTGTATTTTTAAGTTCTGTGCTACTGTAAAGAACTTTACCATTTGTGACTAGTGACTACCTTATAATTTGTAATTCTGACTTTTAGTCACAGAAAAAAACACCAGTTGTTTGCTGATGCAATAGAAAACTCTGCTGGAATAGAGTACATATTAATACATTCCCACTCACAACCAGAGAGACACATTATACCAGGCAAGAAATCTTCACTTCTGAAATGGAATATCCTTTCCTTAGATTTCTTATTGCTTACCTTAATAAACTGCAAGTAGTGATTTTTATGTCTAGCACTGAAGCATACTATGTTTTGAAATTGTTTTTTACTTTATTTTGTCTTATGGTATTTAACAAATATTTTTTCAGGTGGAAAAAGCAACAAGACAAATAACAACAACAACAAAAAAATCAGTGCAGCACTCCTTTTTTTTTGCTGCTAAAGAAAGAAGAAATGTTTTCTCTGTAGTGACACTGCTTTAGTGTAAGTGTATGGTATTAAAATGTACTGCCATGTGATGTTCTAAAAGCACCTCAGTAAAGGATATAAAGTTATTTATAAACTCTACAAGAAATTAGTCAACCTATGTAAATCAGTCTGTCATAATGTTTGCATTTTTCCACTGGAAGATAAAAAAATAAAAATCCATGGGAAAGCAGAAAAGTACTTGGCATCCAGAGCAATTTATTACTTGGGGGAAAAAAAATCCATATTGTGCCTTTTCAGCACAAATTCCTCTCTTTGTTTCCAGCAATTCAAAGTCGAAAGGCAAGGTTGAAGATATAGATTCAGGTTAAGTGTACTGAACCCTAAAATTAATTTTAATGTAACAGTCTAGGTATTTGATTAGTCTGCATTATTATAATTTATTTATGGACATTATCGCTTGCTAAATGTTCCCATCACTTTGGGCAAACCTTCACAATATAGCTTTGATAAACCTCGTTGCTTGGCTAAAGAAAGCTGTTTTGGATGCCAGCTTACTCACAGTGCTGCTTTACTTCACTTGAGACCTGCCAGAGGGAACTGCTTGAGAAGCTGATTTTTAAGAACCCCTGAGCAGTCTCAGCAACCCTGGAGACCCGTGAGCACTTAACTCTTCTAAAAGGCAAGCCCGGGAGACAAAGAATTGAATCTGTACCTCCATATTACATTTAACTATGTCAGGGCAATTAAAGAGTTCTTTGACAGAGTAGCTTCTATTTCATATGATTATAACTTCAGCCACTGCCTTCATACATACTTACAGCGTTTAAATGTACTGTGTTACATGTATCTGTTTTTACACCACTAGAAATATCTACTAAGAAACATTCAGTACAGATTTATTCTCAGACTAATTTCAAATTTCAGCACTGCAAACATCAAGAAAACCTCTTACTCTGCTTCTCAAGAATGTTTAATTCATTTAATCTATCACTGTGTCAAAAGGACTGCTAATTTGACATTCCAGCAATTTAAAATTTCTCTGATGCAAATCTCCACATCATCTATTTTCTCCATATTTAACAATAACACCAATTAAATTGTCATGTGTACAGGTTTTCAGTGTTTTAAAGAATCAAACTAAATGTGGATATTGGTGAAGTTTTGCATCTTGCAATAAATTATTTCTTATTTGATGTACAACCTATTCCCACTGTATACTCCAAAAGGAATTAATTTGTTTTTAACAGTTAGGTCAGTAGTTCAAGAGCAGACATGATGACTCTTCATTAAGCTGTATTTCAAGATCTTTACTTTCATACTTTCATTTCATAGAAGACCTCCAAATCACAATGAGATTTTTCTTTCTTCTATGGCTTTTCTTACCATAGTGAGGAATTATTGCCCAAGCCATTGCAGAAGCGTAGATGCCACCAATCATCCAAAACATGCAGAGCCAGCTCAGGTGTTCACCTCGTTTCTCCCGAGCAAGCACTTCCGAAAAATAGGAGAAGACTGTTGGCATAGCTCCACCAATTCTAAAAGGAGATACAGATCATGGATTAAGCAAGGCAGTAACAGCTAGAGAAAGTTTGAACAAGTCCATAGCAGCAGTCATCAGAAACCTCAAATACAAGCAGCTTCTCTGGAAAGTACTTTTTTCTCAAATCGCACCATGTATTGGAGAACTCTAGAGAAAACTTTCATAGGTTTGGATGAAATTTTTGTTAAATATTTCCTTGGAAGTTCTGTGTACTATTTATTGCATTTAATGTTTCAAGGGGATTGTTAACGTGTCAGTCACTGGAACAGACACCAGCTCAAAGTCTTGACTTTCACCATTACAAAATAATGGCTGTCTACTGACAAGTGTCAAAATACATTGGTTCTAATGGAAAAATATTAATCATTTTCCCAAAGAGTAATAAGTATTTCTCTAAGTCTTATCTCCCACGATCCAGGTAACCAGGAGGTAACTAACTCTTGATGTTTTTTTTACAATTCAAAACATATTCTACTCTGTTGCACTACATGAATAGCTAAGCCCATGCTGGCTTTTTACTTAATTTTTTATGAAAAGCATATGCATTCAAAATAAAAAATATTCATTTTTTCTTGGTAACATAAGCATGGTCTGAAGGTCAGTTGAACAAAAAAAAAAAAAAGAAAGAGAAGATTCAACACGGTTTTACAAAAATTAAAGTAACTCAAAATATGTATCACTTTTAGTACCAGTTTCCAAGTTATCTTTTACTATCTTTACCTGCTCACTATGTACACAAGCTGTTTAATATTCTACATCAGGATAAGTGCTTCTAGATTTTGTTTTTTCCAGTTAAGAAAATACCTTCAGATTACATACTTGAAAGCAATATATGGCATGGTTTGAATTTTTAAGTGAATTTTAAAGATAAATACATACTTAAAATGTCATCTGGGAGCTGCCAAACTGAAAGCAAACAGCAAACTTCAAAACAGTTTTAAACAAATATTAATAAGGAAAACGTGGCTACAGAAATGGTATTTCACCACTAAAAAAATTCAGTGCCATAGCCATACAGTTTATTTTAATGTATCTTCATGTACTGGGATGAAGTACTGGATTGAGCTGTTATGCTTGTACAGGGGACTGCTGTTTTCTCTTCTCCTTTATACAGGTTTTCACAGAATCAGAACCATAGAGTCCTTTAGGCTAGAAGGGACCTGAAATACCAGCTGATTCCAACCCCTTCATGTGGGCAGGGACACCTTCACTAGACCAGATTTCTCACAGCTCCCTCCAACCTGGCCTTGAACACTGCTGTGGATGGCATAACATTCCTCAGTAACCTGTTCCAGTGCCTCACCGCCTTCACAGGAAAGAATTTCTTCTTAATACCTAACCTAAACCTGCTCTCTTTCAGTCTGAAGCCTTGTTCTATCACTACATGCTATTGTAAAAAGCTTCTCTCCATTTTTCTTACAAGATCCCTTCAGGTACTGGAGGGTCCAATTAGGACATCCTGAAGCCTTGTCTACTCTGAAATACTGCTGATCAAGTTCTGCTGGTAATGCAAACATTTACACCTCTAGGAATTCTTGTTACATATACAGCTAATAAAGGCTGTATCCCATTTCTTCTCATGGGTGGAAATACTGAAATCCTCCACTAGGAAACTGCCCTGTCAAAGGCAACAAGCGACAATGTCCTTGGAGCTTCCCCTGGAAACCTGGGCTGAGGTAAAATTGAGGGGTCATGGCTAAGGGTAGAGGCACAACTCATTTTCCTGTGACGGGGAAACCCTTCTATCTCAGTGCTTTTATGGATTCAGGGCTCTCCAGTTCCCAAAATATAAATGGATTACAGCTATGATGTAAACCCTCCAGGGTGCAGAGACAACTTTGAATTGCACTCCCAGAGTTTTCCAAATAGAGTAGTCATGGCTCTAACTAGAGTTTATTTTCGAAGGTTAAAAATTTACTAGTAGAACCAGAAACAAGATATTCCTGTTTCTTGACAAAGCTGAAAAGTGTGGATGGGGAGTTATAGGTGCCCACTTTCAAGAAGACCAAATTTAATAGGCTGCTCATGGCATCAATTGCGTGGATGTTTCAAACTGAGAAAACCTACCTTTTCTTAATGTCATAAAATGTAGATAACCTGACCAAAAGTAGCAAAAAAAGGCATCTCCTACCTGTCAGCATGAACCAACTATATTATGGATGCTGAGAGATAGATGCTGCTTTAGCAGTCAAAACTGCTCCAGGTGGGTTGACGTATATGCTACACCCTAAAGATTCCCCAAAGCTACAGAAGAAACCCTGTCTATACTGACCAAATCAATAGTGCAATTTTTCTAGCAAAGAGACTTTTTACATGTTAAAGGAATTCAGGAGCCAGAAAATAAAAATGTTTATTTAGGTTATGCAAATAAGCAGGAAAAAAGTAATCAGCTCTGAAAACTCACCATTTTTCTGTTTCAACCAGTTGGTTTATTTGGCACTTCCAGTGAGTATGTCAACAGGCTAAGCAACAATTTAAAGTCCAGATATTATGCTCATATTGATTAAACAGTGAAAATAACCTGTCTAGGGTTTTAAGGAGAAATACAGGATGTATTTCCATCACACAGAAAACTGCTCCTATGTGTAGTTGTAGGTCTTTGTTTCACAGAGAAAGTATAATGAAGTGTGTTATGCACTTTTTTGCACCTCAAATCTGTGAATGGAAAATGTGTTTCTCAGCTGGTTGAACTCTTTCTTCTGGCCTCATGTAAGTGCAGAGTGATACTGCTACAATATTTTAGGATACTGGCACCTATGAAGCTCTTCCTATATTACAAAGCTACTACAAGGACTAAAAAGCTATTATGAATGTCTTAGAAAAGCTAATCAACAGCAAAACTGGAGGAGCAAAGAGAGAGATGGAGACGAAACATCCTCCTGCAGAAGACTGTGCTTTTGCTGTTAATGCTGAAAAATCTCAAATTGGCAGTAGCCATATCTCCATTCCCTAAAACTTGCACCCAAATGCAGAGCAAGTGACAGCAGAAAGGGAGAGTAGGAACAGCTACAACAGTTATCACACCAAACAACAATGATAAATAGCCTTAAAAACTGAACAGACCTTGAGAACTCCTCCAAGGAGCAAAGAAATTTCTTCCTGACTTGCAGAAATTTAAACTTGTGCTTGGAACTACAGTAATTTTCTATTATAGAACTAATATGGTACCTGGTATATGGAACTCTGCTAGAAGAAGCATAAACTACCTCTCAAAGCTTTGGGCAAGAGAAGATCAGAGTATCTCCAATTTCCATCACTCTCTTGTAAGGATTTTCCAGATCCATCAGCTGCTACTGCTATTTATTCATTAGCTTATCAAAAGTTGATATTTTAAAAACCCACCACCAAATCACCCAACAGCTGCAAGGAAGAATATAATTCTTACAGTTTTTAAAAAAATAAAATGTAAGCTAGGTGAGCCCTTCCCTATGGAAGGAACAGAATTTGATTCTCAACCTTTTCGTATTGTTGGTTTGGAAGCAACTACCTCTTTGTTGCCCACTAACATTTTGTGAAATGCATGGTGGCATGCACAGGAGTGAATTTCAAGTAAAACTAAAAGCAGAGCTACTACTAATTTTTCAGTAGGAAGACTTCATCTTTTGTTTTAAGGGAAATAAATGCAAATGCTATTTTCCCACAGTATGCAGTGTTAAGTCTGCTTCTGGCAATTAATTGGTATGATACAGTGGGCTGTTTGCTGCTACTGTGTTTGTAATTATATGGCTCACCATCACTTGTAGAAAATTATTTGATACATGAAACTATATTCTTCTCTTATGTCTGCCTGTGCAGATGAAAAGCACATGAAAACTGTGTAGACTTGAGAGGAACATTAATTCTAGAAATGGGAAGGAGTTTAACTTTCCTAAACATAAATTATTCAAACAAGCTGAAGTTTTCATATTTAATCTGTTATTCATTTCTGTTATCTCTTCAGTTATTCTAACCAAAGCAGTGGATATAAACATGTTACCCACAGGTAACAGAGAAAAGTCCATGCACTACTTCCTTAGGGGTCATAAGAAGTACTTATCTTGTTAGTATGTACAAAAACTAAGTACTTTTTTAATATTTTCACAGGTAAATTGTGTGGAATCTGAACTTTTTAAAAAATATTTTAAAACACTGATATAAGCCTCTGGGATGATGAACATGAGTGATATCTGTCTCCTGAATAACACATTCTGTAATGAGACACAATCTGATACCAACAGGAGGCAAATCTTCATTGAGCTTGGCCAAGATCATGAAATAAGCACTTGCACTCAATAAAGATCAGATTATTCATGTGAAATTAAATGATGCATGCCTTCAGCCTTGCTTTTTTTGTAAATATGTATAAATATATGCAAGAACAGCACCGAAGAAACAGCAGGAACCTTTTGCTACTGAACATATTGTTTATATGTGGGAGAAAAGCATATATGTCAATCAAAAGAATGATAAATATTGATCTTTTTTTCAGTTATTCTTCATCTTATGTAATAAACCTCACCAGAAGTAGGCAGAGCAAGAGGGAATGCATATTCATGCATTTACGTACACGCTCAGATCATGTTTGTTCTGAGAAAGGTAAAACCAAAAGGAGATTTAAGTGATGCACCTTAGGAGAGTGGGATTCAGAGAAGCAAACAATAAGCTAAGATACATTTGCATTTTCTTTGTTACAAACAAAGATGATAAATGTCTGCTAATCTACCTTCAGAGCTGTGATTTGTCACAACAGATTTTGGCAACTGCACAGTGTGACAGCTGGGATGAAAACACGTCTGTGAGGCATTCAGAAACCTCTGGCTTCAGATAGAAGCTATTGTTTATTTGCTGATTCACTAGCCAAAGGGGCTTGAAATGCAAAAGCACACATGAAATAATTAGGACAAAAAGCCCATACAGAATACTAAATATACAAGGTAGGACTGTGTTCTTCTGAAATGCCTTGTCTTCTCTTTCAAGCTTGAACAACATCCACACTAAAAATAGATACTGTCTGTG